AAAAACAGCTATCGTACGAGCGGTACACGTAGTTCTAGTTTTTCATAGCTACTCTGATGTCCTCGAACTTTTGACCATTCAGGGTTTGAAAAGCGTTAATTATCATGCCTTCCCAGTACGGCCAATTTTCATAGCTGATGTAGAACTATAATTGCAGTTCTGAATATGATAAAAGGAAATATAAACATGAACTGGACTCATTTTAAGTACTTTTCTCAAAGATCTCTAAAGCTAAACACTGTGGCTTTGCAGCTGGCAGTTTGGCTACGTGTTGCGTGTTGTTACGGGCTGTCTCAAATTTATTGGCCTCATCATTCTTAAATTACACCATACTTCGAAATTTGCTTCAAGCAGTAAAATGTACATATTCTGATACAGGTTGATTGGCTTACAACAAGCTACTTATACGGCACATAAAACAAAATATTGACTGGGCAGTTGCTGAAACCGTGTTTTATGTTTACGCCTTAGTCTCCGCATCATCGAAAAAGCTAGTTACCGCTGCTCTACTTTCTTAAAACTGCAAACTTACTTTTAAAAGTAATTGTCACCCCACACGATAAAAAAACTATAAATTTACAAAGGAAAGATGTTTATGTTGCCAAGCTCTGATTTATTATTGTTATTTTATTTTTTCCTTTTTGGATAACCTATCAAGAAAGAAATTTGTGATTTTCTCACTGAGAGAAGCGCGCCGGCTTTTAAGCCACGGAGACAAAAATAGACACCGCGCGAGACTGCCCCTCATAACTAGACACAAGCGCTCAAAATTATAGAATTGTAAATCGTTTCCTTCTAAAATATGATACATATTTTGTCCACCGGTTTTGTCTACAGGGTGGTACTGACAAAAGTGGCTCATCTTTTTAATTTTTATTCCTATTTTTCATTACGCTTTTAAAAGTTTTCGTAAAATTCTTAGCAAAGTATGTTTTTTTTTATTTATGTATTTTTAAATTTAACTACAGTTGACTCCCGATAACTCGAACCCTCGCTAAGTCGAACCTCGCGCTAACTCGAACCAAAATCGTTATCCCCTGGATTTCCTTCTTACATTTACTGTAATTTTACCCTCAGTAACTCGAACCCTCAATAACTCGAACTTCCCGCTAACTCGAAGCAATTCTTGTTTCCCTTTAGCTCATTTCTAAACCAGTTTTACCCTCGATAACTCGAAAAATGCTATAAGCGGGTGAAAAAAACTGTGTACTGAAGTCCGAAACATTAAATTTATTTCAAAACAACCGAGTCAAGTCTTTGTCTTTACTCACTGCAGCTGTCACTCCAGTAATTCAGTGTCATTTCTGTATA